TAAGATCAGATAGAGATTGCAGCCTCTATCGTGCATACAAGCCAAATTCAACGACGTTTTTACTAAGTCAAGGGCAATAACTCTGAAACCGTTCAACCGATTATTACCAATTTCGTTCTTGACCGAGATCTTATCAATATATACATGCAAACCAAGTTCCATCAAGATCAGACAAAAACTGTAGCCTCTATCGTGCATACAACAAATGTGGATGGACGGACCGAAGGATGGACGGCCGGACGGACAGGTGCGACGGCAATATACGTCCACATTCCATGTGGGCGTATAAAAATGATTATGTACCGGAAGAAGTTATGTTCCCTTACCATTCGAGATCATTTATGGTGGAATGATCGCTCGATCCCATTTCTCTTTTTGGTTTTATTTCAGATGTCACCGAATGGAAAGAATAGTGTATTACTTTGCTACATTTTCATAAACAGAAAATATGAGGACGAAGTTATCGAAGTATAAAATCGGGGATGAGGTATTGGCATTAAGGCCTCCTAACGGTGAATGGTACAGGGCTAAAATCATAAGAATAAATAAGAAAACCATCTCCGTGAGATACACAGAAGATAACATAACACAACGCTTGTCCTTACATCAATTGTCTCCTCTTGAGCCAGACCTGCCTCCCTATACGGTAGCTGAAGGAGATACGACAAACGGAACTTCTTTTAATACTTTACCGGATGGAGAAACTAGATATAGTGTTTTACCTGCGAGATATACTACCAACATAACTGCATGCCATACCTTACCTGAGGGAGATACTTCTAACCCAACTCTACGTAAGACTTTACTTGATGGAGACAAATATCACCTCATACTTTACCAGAGAGGGATACTACCAACATAACAGGTAATACTTTACCCAAGAGATCTACTACCAACATAACAACAGGTAATACTTTATCAGAGAGGGATACTACCAACATTACAGGTAATACTCTACCCAAGAGATCTACTACCAACATAACAGCAGGTAATACTTTACCAGAGGGAGATACTACCAGCATAACAACAGGTAATACTTTACCTGAGAGAGATTCTACCAACATAACTTCATGTAATACTTTACCTGAGAGAGATACTACCAACATAACTTCATGTAATACTTTACCTGAGAGAGATACTACCAACATAACTTCATGTAATACTTTACCTGAGAGATCTACTACGAACACAACTTCATGTAATACCTTACCTGAGAGATCTACTACCAACATAACTTCATGTAATACTTTACCTGGGGGAGATACAACCACCTCGTCTTCAGAAAACACACAGAGAGAAAAGTAAAGACGTCATTCCAGCTTTCAGATGAAGACGATTCATCGGATGAAGAGTCAGATGATTCATCAGAAACAGAATACAAATCAGACGAATCAGACAATTCGTATGTTTCTGACTCCTACAATTCGGTAAAATCCGCTTTAATACCCATGAAACAGTTCATGCAGCATTCACCAGAAATACAAAATACAACCAATAACGATGGAAACATTACAAAATTGGATAAAAAACTCTTTTGCTACTTTCAGTTGGGTTCCAAAGAGTTGATTTTGAGGGTTATGCCTAATTTTGAGGCTAAATTTCAAACGGATCCAAGGTATAGTTCTGACATTTTTTTGCTAGGAGTTGGATAGTTTTATTATGTCTTATGCCAATAACACGGAAATAACATGATTTAATACGGAACGACAAGTGTCAGGTCGTATGCACTGCGGATAAACAGCGGTTATATGTAAAGATTAGTACAAATAAGAACGGTCTTCAGTCATTCTGCAGCTGCATGCTATAGGACAATTAACATGGAAATGAGAGCGAAAGGGACTTTACCATTACCCTGTCGCTAATGGTTATAAAAGTAATTCTTGAGCGGTTAATAATTTGTGTCATTAGTTATCTCCCTTGAACTTTTTAAATTGGCCAGCCAAGTCTCTATACCCCACAGTAGTCAATGAGAAGAGAAACTAAATAATCTAATCTTGAGTGATATTGAATCATAGAATTATCTAGTAATTTCAGGTTTTTATAACATTATTACAGTAAGAAATACCTAATATTACTTCTTTGACATTTGAAAATGCCTCATGTCTTCCATTTGTATTAATGGAGAATCTATATATATTTTGCAAACTACGTTACTCCTGTTGTAAAATATTTTATCAGGAACTTGTACCCAGGTCCATGATCCTCCTTGTTGGAAACGATGGAAACATTACAAAATTGGATAAAAAATTATTTTGCTACTTCTGTTCAACTGCTGTGACGAAACTGTCTAAACATTTCAGTAGTCATCATTCTTCCGAGTCTGACGTGGAAAAATCGATGGCAGAAAAGGATCCGAAAAAAAGATCTGATATTTTATACAAACTAAGGAACTTGGGGAACCAACTCCGAAGTAATACGTCAAAATAAGGGATTTTTAATAGTGCGCTATCGTCCACAAAATGGTTATGTTAATCCAGACGACTTCGGCCTCTGTTCCTATTGTTATGGATACTTCGTTCGACAGGACTTGTGGAGACACAGATATCCACAGAAACCTGTTTCTAAACGTAAACGATCCAGCGACGATGGCGAAGAAAGTACCAAACGCCCACGCCTCAAGGAAAAAAAAAGTTTTTTCCTAAATCCTGCTGCGAATTCAATCTTCGAACAATTTGCTTACATTCGTACTAAACTAAGAGAGCTCAGAAGACTCTTGCTCCAGTTACGATTAAATACACAACAGCCAAATGTTAATCTCCATCAATTCATAGCTCCTACCGAAGTTAGTACCGTACGCTTATCATTACTGTCCAAAAGGTTGCCTTTAAAACCCCATCTTTGCCGCTGAAATTGGGGCATTCTCCTTAGAAATGTGCTCTTATCAGAGGTCTTGGATAATTTCATCAAGCTTTGTGAAATAAAACAGAAATGAGTAACCATGCATTACGCACTCTGTATCAGAACAAACGAAATAATCCAGAGGTTTTACCGGCGATGGCGAATGTTGTCAGTCTCACTAAATACCTTGAGATGACAGGTGATGTTCAAAAAGCAGAACTTGATATTGCTAGGAGTTGGATAGTTTTATTATGTCTTATGCTCAGGTCACACATTCACGGATCAACTAGCCGTTTGGGGAGGGAGTGACATGGAAATAAAATGATTTAATACGGAACGACAAGTGTCAGGTCGTATGCACTGCGGGTGAACAGCAGTTATATGTAAAGATTAGTACAAATAAGAACGGTCTTCAGTCATTCTGCAGCTGCATGCTATAGGACAGTTAACATGGAAATGAGAGCGAAAGGGACTTTACCATTACCCTGTCGCTAATGGTTATAAAAGTAATTCTTGAGCGGTTAATAATTTGTGTCATTAGTTATCTCCCTTGAACTTTTTAAATTGGCCAGCCAAGTCTCTATACCCCACAGTAGTCGAAGAGAAGAGAAACTAACTAATCTTGAGTGATATTGAATCATAGAATTATCTAGTAATTTCAGGTTTTTTATAACATTATTACAGTAAGAAATACCTAATATTACTTCTTTGACATTTGAAAATGCCTCATGTCTTCCATTTGTATTAATGGAGAATCTATATATATTTTGCGAACTACGTTACTCCTGTTGTAAAATATTTTATCAGGAACTTGTAGCCAGGTCCATGATCCTCCTTGTCGGCACATTGCACTAACCTCAATGTCATTATCTGTAAATTGTACAATCCAGGAAAGAAATTATTATTATTATTATTTTGAGCAGTAAACTTATCTACATCTGGTATGGCACTATCAGCCGAATCTCTTATATTGTGTGTGATAAGGTTACCAGTTGCAACCATGGAAACTTTAATTAATCATCACAAGATCGACATAACTTCATGACCTGATTACGTTCCAGGTATCGGTTACCCGGATGAAAGATGGGTCAGTTATAATTATCTTCCGCACTATCAACATGTTCTCCACAAAAGATCGTATGCCACATCAATCTCTTTACAGTAACCCCCTTCCCATGCGATGTGGCAAAATACTGCCACGTAACAGACTTCTCGAACATTTTTATAGAATTCTATTAAATATTCTGCAGAATGGAAGATATAAATTTATGCACTGCATATAATATTTGCCATGCCTTTGGTCAATCCACTTTTAAACATTGCATTGCTTATTGACCCAATGAGACTATTGTATTTGATTATGATCTTTGATAAAGGTATGGATCAAGGATTGTATTTATTTAGATTTAAAGTACGAAATTCAGTTGGAACAGAAGGGCATGTAAAAGAAAATTAATATTTTTATGGATTATTGTAACAATATGGGAAGGTCTGAAGCTACAGAATTTTGATAGAGATAATATATGATTCTCATTTTCTTTCAAAAACAACTGATGTGCCTCTTTTAAGGAATAGAGCATATATTTTTTTTTGAGAAGTCTTATTTGCCTTATTGTCCCTGGTTATTACATTGTCTCAAGTGTCTTTTTGTCGAGGAGATTTCGGTAGTGTAGGCCTACTTGGTTTGTCAGTTTTGACTTCATGTATTAATTTCCGATATCATCTGTTGTCTTTTCTTGTAGGTATATGCAATAATATGTGTAATGTCATAATCTATTTATACATAATGCTTATGTATGGTTCCTGGAAATGTTTTCTATATATTTTGTCACACTGTTTCCTGAGAAAAACACTATTCTTACACTTTCTTTTAACCATTATGATTGACAATTATCTTGTTTAACAAAAACAATTGTCTTCATTGCGTGTATATATAGAAGCTGAGAACAATATGAACATCACTCTATGCCTGAAGAAAGGTTCTATTTCCGAAATCGCGATCGCATACTTTTGAGGAGCCCCCTTATTTAATATATATTATATTCATTTTGTAAGTTGTTTTTGTTTTCTTTACATTAAAATTTTATCTTTTACTTTACTTTGTCTTCACCAATAATGGATTCTATCATCATCGTCCAAAGCAGCATGGCAATAAATATAGTTTTTGAAAAATTAAGAGAGAGAGAGGGGGTATTCTAAACGATTTCTGCGTAAAATTAAAAATGAAACTCTTTTGAAAAATAAAAAGCTAAGCGACACCCCTCCTCCCTCTGCCGGTTTTGGCTCAATACAATGCGTAGTTACAGCATGTCGCACCTGTAAACATTCTGATACCACCTATTTTTTCAAAAACAAGATTTAATGGTCATCGCTATGACATAGTAGCCTACAATGGCGCAATCATTGTTAAACTATTTTTCTCTGAACTCGAATCTATCTACCTACAGGTATGCTAAACGAATTGTTGTTGCATTTAAAAGAAACAAAAGCAATTTCTCAAAGATAGATTAGGTGATATTTTTCCTGGTGCTGATTTACTTAATACTTGTTCTGCCGAAGATGTTGAAGACCAGTATTCTCAAATACAATCTAGCTCACCATATCTTCAAATGTAAAACACAAAACTCATACGATTTCCAACCAAGTTTTTGTTATCTTTATGATCCTATACTTTCTAATCTAGTATGGAGTCCTGGGATATGGTAGAGTGAGTCGATAAATAGATACTATACTATAAAAAGCCTTAGTCCATTTTTCAGTGTGATAATTTTTTTTAATGGATTTTGGTTTAGATACAAGTTCTTCACTAAACGTTAATGAAAGGTGCATTTCTTGCTGTTTAACTACAGCCAAAATCGACAAATCAATATACTTTCCATTAGAATTTTTATTTTTTGTCGATTTACTCCCTTTCAGCGTGCGTCTGGTATGTTTGTACATGTTCTGATCAAAACATTAGCTGGTGAAAAATGTTGTTCAGAATCGGAGCTATTGCTGGAAAATTGTACTCCTAAAAAATTCAATGTGATGACCATGAAAATTTTGAGCTTCTAAAATTGAAAGTAGACTACTACCGGTTATACTCATCTGCTAGAATTTGGCAGTTAACAAAACGACTATTTTTAGAATTATCCTTCCGTCTTAAAGTTTCTCATCATCTCACGAAATCTTAAAGATAATGCAATTTCCGACATCAAATTCTAAATCTAGACCAATAAATACTTTAAAATAAGCATGCAAATCCCCAAAAGGGAGAGAGAAAGAAGATTTCTAAAAATAGCCTGGACTACATTCGCAGAAGTATAAAATGTTTTAGTGGAGTGAGTCCAAAGGCATTTTTACGCACTTAAATTTGATTCGATTACCCTAATCAGAATGACGTCACAAATCGAATC